TCAATTATAAACAAAGCATCCATAGTAATGTAAAAACATAAATTTCTAGATTGCAATTGATTTTCTTAACAAAATTATATATAATGCACATATTATGTATACAATGAACCTACGACAGCTAAAGAAAATAAAATTTATGAAAAGATGGACAATCTAGTGTAGTAATCAAAATTAGTGGCACTTATCTCAACTGAATGAACTTTGTCTCATTCTTACTATACAACTGTCTCAAGATCAATCTCTAAAGAATAATTTTACTAAATCTTCTTAATAACTGTTTGAATTGTATAACAATCTTTAAATATTAGATTTCCATTAGTTAATTGAGAGATATTACGAGATATATTTTAACGATTTTAGAATAGAGAAAGCACAACATATAATAAATTTCTGAAATATGGCCAGCTAGAATAAGGGGAGAGGGGGAAAGTGAATCTGTCAGACAGTGGCATTAAACAGAATTCCCTTCTGTTAACGCAATAAAATATGTAAATAAAAATGACTCAGCCGGTTCAAGTAAGATCGTTATTGGAACTGGGATCAAATCGATTACATATTTCACGAATCGAATGTTTCTCGGTACACTTATGTCTGCGCAACAAAATTTTACTCACTACTCGGGATTCATTGTGGACATGCTATGCTCAGAACACGTTCACTAATACTGTGTACCGTCGTCGTTGAAATCTACGTTGGAGACACAAATACGTTAGAAACGGTAATATGATGATACGATATTCACAGATCACGTTCCGCAATACGAAGAACCTGTAACAATGGCGGTCACGGTAACTCCTCCCAATCCAGCGTATGAGACGTCCACCACCATTGACGTAATGCCAGAATGGCAGCAGGTGCTGTTTCACTCACTCTATTGGACGGTGTATCAGCGATTTGAAACGAATACTACGTCTGCGCACTTCTTATACATAAGGTGGACACCCAAATGACTCGATATGTTGATAATTAATTCTTACTTGTAGCAATCTAGGAATATGTAGTATGTACATATGTACATACATAGGAAATATGTCTATATAAATAATTAGTGTTAGAATTTATAAAACACACTTTAGATGCTCCTATCTGAGTTCACGTCCCATGGATATCCAAATATTGTGTGTTCAAACTATTATAGTAGTGCCTCACTTTAGTGAGCGAAGCGGGGGCAACCAGCTTAATAGCATGAAGCAGGTAGAGAAATCTGATTGGTTGATACTTCACAGCTAAACAGTGCTGCCCTCGCGGTTCTAGACAAAGAGAGGAAGTGATGAGTGAGCAAGAGAGTATGGTATCAGCACAACATAAGCAAAACAAGTCACACCGACGACCAATGTATTCATTTTACCGTGCTTACGTTCTCACTCTTTTCGTGCATTCATATGCTGGTGCGACATCTGAAATACGTGGCGCAATAATTCGACTTGCACTTTTCGCCTTATAAGATTTTCGACCACTCAGTCCAGCGTATTTGCGAACGTCTTGAAACGATAATCATTTCTACAATTATTAAAATTTTCGAAAACCCGTAAGCTATGTTTTAGCTAATAGTTTCTACTTTATAAATCAACAAAATTTTTTTAATTCAACCATCCCAGTACTCTTTAACTGAGACGATCAGCAATCAATTTTCCTCTATACGAGGAGTTTCGAAAGCAACGAATAATTTCGCAATTTTATATGATGTTTATTGTTAAAAATTTCGAAAACGAAGCTGAAACTTGCATCCATATCCTCTTAGAAAGTCTACATATTTAATGTAGTAATTACCTACAACAAAATTCTCAAACTCAAGAGTTTTATAGAATTAGAGTTAAGAATTATTTATTAAGTATATTAGAATTATTGAAATTTTTGGAAACCCATAAGTTACATTCGTAGCTAATGGTTTTTAGTTTACGAATCTATAGAATTTTTTAAATTCAGTCATCCCGGCCAACAGTCAATATTATACTCTACGAGGAAGAGTTTCGTAAGCAACAGATAATTTCGTATTTATCGAAGCTATGAACGAAACTAGGAATATAATGAAATGTTGTTTGTAGGTCTGGGTAAAATAGAAAATGGTATTTTATTATCGCATCGACATTATCACTTCTGGAGTGAATGAGGCTAGAATGAATTTGAGGCCCTGAAAAGGGCCGTTATTATTAAATAGTGGTGCCTGTGGAATACTAGCAGATTCGTTGTCTGTGTCTCACTCTAGTTTTTTTTACAGTAATAATATGTATTTATTTTACAATTCTCGAATGGGCTACGTGAACACAAAGCGCGGTACACCGCGAAATGTTGTGGTTAACTTATGTAATAGTTCCTCCTATTCGAAGAAATTGTCTTCGCTGGTTCGCGATCTATCTTGGAATGGACAATTACGTGTTCGCGGGCTTCATTTTACATAAGAATCGCAGGTGCAACATCTTCACCTCGTCCTTGTTCAGTTTCACTACACCCTCCTGGTTGTCTATGGAAAGTAGCATGCCTACGGCTTCTCTGTCTTCACCGATTATGACCTTGACCCTGTCACCTCGCGAGGGTACCACTGGTTCAAGTTCCTCGCAGACCAGGTTTACAACTCTATCTTCGATTGGTAAGAAGACAGCACACATGCCACCCTATAAATGGATTCCAATCATGAATACTCTCAGCTGTTCAAGATTATTTTCTCCACCGTGAAATATTTCCAATTTTTAACCCTTCGTACTCCTAACAGTAGCTTTTTATTTGTTTTCATTTCTAAGGATGACTTCTTATAGTCATTTAAGGATGACTATGATCTTTTTATAAAATACATTTTAAACTTTAAAGCATACTTGATAATACTCACAGATATTCCTCGAATAACACCCTGTTGTCCAGCGAGCAAAGGATCCTGATGAGTATCCCGAATTCTCACCTCAATGTCTGTAGTATGCCATTCGGTTCCTCCTATGATGCCGATACTGGTATCCAAACCTGCACCTGGTGTTTGCGGATTATATGGACTGCCCGCAGCTCCTGCGAGAAGGCAACATTAGAAGTATTCTTTACAAAACGATGGTACTTGAAGAATAGCACTTACCAGGAGTCATTGGACTATAGCCCATCGGTGAGGGAGTAGCAAAGGCTCCATGTGGACTGGTGGTGTATCCAGTACCACTTGGTGAAGGAGTAGCAACGTAGCCTGCAGGACTAGGACTAGCTGTTGCACTCCCAGCTGGACTAGGACTCGGTTGGTACGAGCTGAAACTCTGCTCTGACCCGTACATTGTGCCAGGTGTTTGTGGTGTAAACGGGCCACCGGTGGGAGGATAACCTGGAGCGTAACCTGGGGATCCACCCTCCTCCATGCTGTAACTGTCGAAGTCATTTGTCCTTGCGGGAGTGTTAGTAACCGCTGGGTCCCAGGCACCTGATTGTCCCGGTGTTCGTGAGCCGTCATGGGACGGTGTCATCGAGCCGTAATGAGGTGTACGAGAACCATCTGCAAATATAGCATTGTACAATTATTATACTCGTATTCTTGAATCGTGTGTAAAGTGAATAAGACAAACTTTGAGGATACTCACTCTCATACATAGGTGTCTGTGAACCATGCATAGGTGTTTTCGATCCATCTCTGGCATACATCGGAGTTTGACTGCCGGCAACGTAAGCTGGTGTTCTGTTGTAGCTGCTGAAGCCACCATCTTTGGTCGGCACACTGACGTTCGCAATGTGCGACCTGTTCACGGAGATGGTCTGGCAGGAGGAATGCAACTCCACACGCACTGTCGTCTCCGTGGTATCCTTTACAATTCCGACATTTCCTTTGTATGGTCCACCGGTTATCTTTATGGTGGTTCCTATCAGTTCCCTGTCTCGGCGGAATCCGCCACCGCGGCTTCTGCCGCCTCTTCCTCCACCACCGCCACCGCCTTTGGCAAAGCCACCTCTACAAACAATTTGTATGGCCCAAGGTTACTTTTCTACCTTTGACTTTCAGAATGAAATATTTAAGTAGTCTACCATGCGTAAAGAATAACAGAAAAATTGTGGAAATCCTACTTACCCGCTAGGATGCATCGGCGAAGCTATTCTCGGTGACATGAATCCTGCTACCGGTGTCATAGAATTCATGCCAGACTTGTTCCCGCCAGATAGTTGCAAATGTCTCGTCTTGCAAACGAATATTCCACCGTTGTCCACGAACATCCTCGAATGTAGAAACGCGAAGCTTCTGTACAGATGTTTGATCTCACCACCTCTTCCAGCATGAGGTCCATCCACCACCTTCACAATGTCCTTCTTCTGTATGGTATTTTGCTGCGAGTCCAACGCAACCGCGTTTCTGTTCTCCCGACGTTTTGTTAAGCCTTGCGGTCTAGCCTCAATCACTTTTCCATGCATGGACAGGACATGGAAGTTCTCGCGTTCAAGACGAACAATTACACCTACTGTTTGTGCGTCCAATTGTACTAAATCGCCCCACTGGAACTGACCCAAGCTGTCCACACCGGTGGCCATGTCGGAACAAAGTTGCAAATCTCTAGGAAGGACCTCGAGCTCGTGCATCGATAGATCAGAGAATAAAACCACTCTATTTTGTTCTACCCGAACGATTAGACCTGTGTCACCTTCGTACCTTCCGGCAACAACCTGCAAGTAATTGGTAACGTATAATTTGAATCAGTCATTTGTAAGAGCCGAAAGTTATTTGTTATTATCGGAGCGACCTCCGAAATCACAACAGTCGATCGGTGCTCGCGGACTCCCATGTGTTAACCCCACGTGACGTACGTGCGCATGACCTAAACATCGAGATGCTGGTAGGACGATCGGCGACCGTTGGGCGCTGGTCGTGCGAAACGGCCAAATTCGTAAGAAGGCTCTTAACGTTCGGCCAGAGCACCGACAAAAGGACGCGCTCGCAGAGCACGAGGCAGAATGCGACGAACGTCGACACGCAATTTACGATCACGCTCGCAAATAAGATTACGATACGGAATTACAATATGCATAACGAACACGGTTTACGGCTTCGGCATGCGATTACGAGAATTATTGTATACTGCCTTATTGTCTTTTTATATTAGATTTTGTATGCGTTACTGTGTATTAATAAATANACCACCAGTGGGAGGGTAACCTGGAGCGTAACCTGGAGATCCACCCTCCTCCATGCTGTAACTGTCAAAGTCATTTGTTCTTGCGGGAGTGTTAGTAACTGCTGGGTCCCAGGCTCCTGATTGTCCTGGTGTTCGTGAGCCATCATGGGACGGTGTCATCGAGCCGTAATGAGGTGTACGAGAACCATCTGCAAATATAGCATTATAAAATTAGTATACTCGTTTCTTTGAATCGCGTGTAAAATGAATAAGTCAAACTTTGAAGATACTTACTCTCATACATAGGTGTCTGTGAACCATGCATAGGTGTTTTCGATCCATCTCTGGCATACATCGGAGTTTGACTGCCGGCAACGTAAGCTGGTGTTCTGTTGTAGCTGCTAAAGCCACCATCTCTGGTCGGCACACTGACATTCGCAATATGCGATCTGTCCACGGAGATGGTCTGGCAGGAGGAATGCAACTCCACGCGCACTGTCGTTTCCGTGGTATCCTTTACAATTCCGACATTTCCTTTGTATGGTCCACCGGTTATCTTTATGGTGGTTCCTATTAGTTCCCTGTCTCTGCGGACTCCGCCGCCGCGGTTTCTGCCGCCTCTTCCTCCACCACCGCCACTGCCTTTGGCAAAGCCACCTCTACAAACAATTTGTATGGTCCAAGGTTACTTTTTCTATCTTTGACTTTCAAAATGAAATATTTAAGTAGTCTACCCTGCGGAAAGATAACAGAAAAATTGTAGAAATCCTACTTACCCGCTAGGATGCATCGGCGAAGCTATTCTCGGTGACATAAATCCTGCTACTGGTGTCATAGAATTCATGCCAGACTTGTTCCCGCCAGAGAGTTGCAAGTGTCTTGTCTTGCAAACGAATATTCCACCGTTGTCTACGAACATCCTCGAATGTAGAAACGCGAAGCTTCTATACAGATGTTTGATCTCGCCACCTCTTCCAGCATGGGGGCCATCCACCACCTTCACAATGTCCTTTTTCTGTATGGTATTTTGCTGTGAGTCCAACGCAACCGCATTTCTGTTCTCCCGACGTTTTGTTAAG